GAGACGATTTTAGTGATGATAGTCTTGAGACAATCACCCTTGAAATTTCGAAACCAAAATCCAAGCCATTTATAATTAATTCTTGGTACAAACCACCTAACACCACACTTGAAATTTTCGATGAGCATTTAGTTAACCAAATGGACTCTGAAAACAAAGAAGTAATTTTACTTGGAGATTATAATTGTGACTGGTCTTGTCTGGCTTCTAATAACGCTAATTCTCAAACAAACAGGCTTGCCGAAATTACTCAAATACTACAATTTCAGCAATTAATTACTGAACCAACACGGATTACATCAGATAGCAAAACGTTAATAGATTTAGCATTCACAAATAAACCTGAATTGATTAATGGTTCGGGAGTCATTCACTTGGGCATTAGCGATCACAGTTTGATCTATATTCAGCGGAAAATCGCTGCCCCTAGTGAAAAACCAAAACTTATAAAATCAAGAAATTTCAAACACTATAATCTAAGTTACTTTAAGTCAGACCTCTCTACATACCTGTATGATCAAACGTATTATGATATAATACTTGATCCAAATATTATGTGGGAAAAATGGAAAACTATATTTCTGTCGGTTGCAGACTTTCACGCCCCAGAGAGAACAAAAAAAGCTAGAAGCAAATATGCACCATGGATAACTGATAAAATTAAACAAACAATGCATCGAAGAGACTTTTTAAAGAAAAAAGCGGTTAAAACTGGTTCGAAGCAATTTCATGACGCTTATAAAAGCGCACGGAATGATTTAAATAGACTAATTAAGAATACAAAAGCTATATACTTCACAAATACGTTGAATGGCTGCGAAAATAACCCAAAGAAAATGTGGAAAATAATTAATAATCTTACAAACAAACAGTCAAAAACAACCCTTATATCTGAAATTCATTATGAAAACCAAAATTTAACTGAAAGGAAAGATATTGCAAACGCCTTAAACCTACATTTCAATGAAGCTGCCTTTCGGCTGGCTGAAAATATGCCACAGAGCTCAAGGACGCCCGAATCATCATAACAATTCCCAATGCACAATTTGTATTACAAAATGTTCAGTAAATAAAACATATAAATTACTATCTACAATCAACATATCCAAATCAGCAGGACATGATAGAATATCAACTAACTTCTAAGAGATGCTGCCGAAGTAATAGCTCCATCACTAACAGCAATCTTTAATACATCTATAAATACTGGCATCCTGAAGATTTTAAGACAGCTATTATTTCGCCAATACATAAAGCTGGAAGCAAAACTGATTGCGATAATTATAGGCCAATTTCAGTTTTATCTTCTGTTGCTAAAAACTTGACAGACTTATCACAGAACAACTAGAAATTTTCTTGAAACTAATGAAATACTAGTAGAACAACAAGCAGGATTTAGGAAAAATCACTCTACTCAAACTTCACTACTTAATAATACAAACCACTGGCTAATGAATATGGACAAGGGTTTATTAAATGGAGTGATTTTTTTGGATCTTAAGAAGGCGTTTGATTGCGTTGACCATAACATATTATTTAAAAAAATGCATTGCTATGGAATAAGGGGTCACGCGCTCGCCTGGTTCCAGTCTTATCTTTCTAATAGAACTCAAATGTGCAAGGTAGATCAAATATTATCTGAACCAAGAACTGTTAAATGCGGAATACCTGAAGGATCTAACCTTGGACCACTTTTGTTTCTATTATATATAAACGACTTGCCAAATTGTCTAACTTCATCATCGGCAAGCATGTTTGCAGATGATACAAATATTTCAACCAGTGACAAGACTAGTGAAGAATTACAAGAACACCTAAATACTGACTTAGAAAACGTGCATCAATGGTTACTTGCAAACAAACTTACACTCAATAAAAAAAGACTGAATATATGATTATTGGCTGAAGACAACGAATTTCAAATCTAATATCAAATCCTAAAATTGAACTCGGCGAATCAGTTATTAAACAGGTCCAAAAATCAAAAACATTAGGTGTTATAATTGACCAAAATCTTTCATGGAGCCATCAAATCCAACACATTTTCACCAAAGCTTCACGAGGAATAGGAATGATGCGACGAATAAAACAGTTTGTCCCAAAATCAACTCTAATAAAAATTTATAATGCTATAATTGTGTTATCACACTTTGACATTATAGCCTTGTATGGGATAACTGTTGTGAATACTTAAAATAGACTTCAGAAATTGCAAAATAGAGCAGCTCGCGTCATAACTGGTAAAACATACGAAGTTAGTAGCGAAGATGTCCTAAAGGAATTGGACTGGAAGCCTTTAAATCAACGATATAATGTCAACAAAGCAATCTTTCTGCACAAAATGCGAAATCAAAAAAATCCATCATCAATTTCTAACATGTTCAAAATAAAAAGCAACGATAGATATAATCTAAGAAGCAACTATAACGATTACGATCTTGGGAAACCTAAAACAAATTTCATGAAAAAAAGTTTCAGTTACTCAGCTGCATCACTTTGGAATGGTTTACCCAATGAAGCGAAAGAATTAGGCATAAGTACTAAAAAATTTAAACGTATTCTTGACGACACTTGACCCAACACCAAAGTATATGTATAGTTATATTTGTATATTTCTGTAATGTATTTTAGTTCTTTTTAATTGCATGCGTGTGATACACGGCCCTTTGAAAATCAGGCTAACTGAAAGGTTACCGTGTTTAAATATTTTTAAATAATAATAATAATAAAGATTACAAAAATCACGCGTGGGCGGCACGAAGTCTTATAAGCTTGCGGATTATGAATGGGTAGTGTCGCAGCTCCTCGCAAGAATGATTTTCATTGGCTGAACTTTACAATACATTTCTGTATGTTTCAATCTGCATTCAAACGGCGGCAAACAATTTTGCCTTTTACTTACAAATATTTTTGGAAGGGAAACGACGTATCTCTCCGTTTTTAGATTGTTACGAAATACATTATCTAGGGGGCAGATACAACGAAATATCCAGGAAATGGGAGATATCTCTAATTAGGATATAGTGGGCCATGAATATAGATTAACCACATCAAGAAATCCAAGACAGTAGCGAAAACGAGGAGTCTAGGCTAATAGACGATGAAGCAGGGGTGGATCCAGCACTAGTGCACAAATTTGCATTACAAAACAAAGTGGTTATTTTTAGCAGTTTTCTTGTGTCATGCAAATTAGTGCACTAGTGCTGGATCCACCCCTGCGATGAAGACTCGACAGAGGTCTCTAATGCCGCACTAAACGCTATACGAGGCATGGAAAATTTCTTGACAAACTCGTTACAAAGCCTTGCAAAAACGTTACAATCCAGCCTTGCTTCGTTGCAAAGCAATTTGGCGCCAACGCGGCCTCGAAAACGACAAGGAAGCCCTCCGTCCTCAGTCTCAGACGACGATAGCTCGTCTGAAAGCTCGGGAAAACAGGCCCTAAAGCCAAATAACAAGAGAGTCATGAAAATCCTGCGGATGAACTTGATTACGCGGTCAATGCGCTTTTGAATAAATCAACCGATCAATCTCTAGTTGCTGAAAAGACGACTTCCAACGCAGGTGGCGACGCCATTTTGACAGGCATTGCCAGCGATTTTTATCCTATTGATCAGTGTGGTGAAGACATCCCCACACGTACAGCTTGCTGAACTTGTGGTAAAAATTCTACAATCAAAAATGACTGAAGGAAAATTAAGAGAGAAGCAGCAAAAATATCTTCGGCCGATATCCCCACAAAAGTAAACGCTGCATCTGGTCATGGTTGCAAAGCGAAAAAGATGCAGAAGGTCCAAATGCTATTGCTTAAAGCTCTAATTGCTCAAACTCGAGTGACTGAGAGTCGACAAAAGGATTCGACTCCCATAGCATCTAAAGCGCGGAGCGACACAGCTGATGCAGCTGTTATTCAGTCCACGGATGCCTTTGCCTTCGTAGTCCAAGCCAAGTCTCACGTAAAGGGTGGGTGGCACACTATGTTACCAAACAACAGGTAGTCGATGGAGTATGGTGGAGTCAGCATGCCATATCCATCACCCGCACTTGCTGGCTGCTTTTCTTGCCCTAAAATCATTTTCAGACAAACTAAAATATATTCGTGTTGGTCTGAAAATTGACAATGTTACCGCAGTTACTTATACAAATAATACGGGCGGCAGCCACTCCAAAACTTGTAATACCTTCGCTAGGGAGATTCGGTTATGGTGCATTGACATCTGGCTTACTGCTTCACATGTACCTGGGGTGTTGAACAAACTAGCTGATAAAGCATCCAGAGAGTTCAATGACACAACTGAATGGGCTCTTGACCCCCAGATCTTTGCTAGTATAACTAAAGCACTTTTTACACCTGAGGTAGACCTGTTCGCGTCAGGGCTCAACCACAAAACAAAGTTGAGAAATACATAGCCTGGAGACCTGACCCACAGACCTGGGCAACTGATGCTTTAGCCCAGAATGCCTTTCCTCCTTTTAGCATGATCAGCAGAATACTGCACAAGATGGAGGAAGTAGAGGGGATCCTTATTGGACTACTCAGGCATGGCAATGAGAATGCTGGTTGCAAAACCCCGGATCCTACCAAACAAGGACAACGTTGTGTACCCCTTTCTTTGACCCCAACAGAAAGCACCCACTTACAGGAAAACTGAATGAAGTTAATAGCTTGCCATTGATCAGGCAATGCTACCAAAAGCAAGGAGTTTCTGAACGCTCAGCAGATTTTTTCATCAGTTTGAAAATGGATACAATATTGCTGCGCAAGGCATAGGCAAAATTCTATAATAAATCAGTCCAACAACCTGGACTTTTTGGACAGTCTATATTAGCAGCAAATTTGTAGCTGTTAACTTGTTGTGTTCATTAGTTTGTTGATGTTAAGGCTATTATAAAAAAATGAATTCTTTCATCACCTAACCACTGGGCTTTAAATTCTCCATGTGACTCCTTGTAACAGGTTATGACAAGGAGGTAGAATTGTAAAATTAAACGAAACTTACCTGGAAGTTCAAGTTTGACGAGGATTCTACCGACTTGTCATACCGGAACAAGGGGTCACACCCAACTCAATATGCAGCATTGTCAGCCCCACTATTGCAAAAAAGGTTTAAAACTGAAATTACCTCATGAAACTTGATGAAATGGAAGGTTTGTGTTTACCCAGCAAGTATTAAGTCGGGGCGTTCATCTAAGTTATAAAATATGTAATTTTATCACGCATTGTGGCAAAACGCGAAGTTTTTGTGGAAGTTTTTGTTGTTATCATTACAAATAATGCCTTGAATCATGTTACATAAACGACAAAAAGAGTAAATATTAATATAGGAATATATGAAAACGATAGACTCAATAATTTTGAATTAAATTAACACATTTAGTTTGTCTTCATTTGAAAACATTTGGCGCCCTTCCTCGCTAGCCCCAGTCCTAAAGCGCATCACACATGCTTCTTACCAATATATCGCATCAATTGCATTGCAACTAATAAAAACTCGATGCAGATAAATTCTAGAGGTTTTAAACCGTCTTAATTTCGAGTGGAATTATACACACTTCAAATTCAAGCCAGGGCAAGAACATTGCACCGACCGGCATCGCAAAAGCGTAGGTTCAATTCCTGCCAGAGGACATATGGTTGTCTCATTTTTCCATCAACTGATCCGGGCTTGAATTTGAAGTGTGTATAATTCCAATCGAAATAAAGACCGTTTAAAACCTCTAAAATCTGCATGCATCAATTGCTTTGCAACTTGATTTACATACACGTATCAATTGCCACTTCAGTACACGATAAATAACCTACTTTTTCAATGTGTAACAACTCCGCGAATGCACAGGCAAAAACACATAAATATAGCTTGAGTCTTGAGAAAAGTACAATCGCTTCTGTTGTTATAATCCGGAAATGGACACCGCAGTGTAGCTGTCAAATTAATGCGGGATTACAAAGTGATGACAACCGGAAATATAAATCGCCCTTGGAATTTCGTTATTTTCTTCCTTATTTATTATCCTGTCGTCTTTTAACCGTTATATATAAACAACAAGACGCCTGTTCTGGCGTTAACTCCGGCGCACGTGCCAGTTTTCAATATAGAGCTTCTGAACATAAACAATACAGTTCATATTCGCATTTAGATGCCTTGCGAACCTAAATGTTCGATCGCGAAATTCAGAAGCACATCGTACTTTAAAAAGTATAAAAGTTAAATCGTTCAAGAATGTAAATAAATGGTATAATACATTCGCTTTGTCTTACACTTTGCCTTTGGAATTCGCGCTTATATAGTTATATTAAATCTTCAATCCTGTGCAAACTACGACGAGTCAAAGCGCCCATACACGACCACATCATCTTGTTAAACGGCGAAATAGCAGCGATATTACTAAAATAGGACCAGAATCTACACGTATTAAATATATTCTTACCCCAATTCAGTCTAAACTTAATCGAAAAGCATGAAAAGAACGGTTTATTTGTTCCTCTTGGAGGAATTGCCGTATCATGCGAGCGAAATCGAATCGCGCATCGGAAAATTAGCCAAAGCTGTACACCACAACTCTTGGGAGATAAGACTGGGACATAGATAAATCCAATCACATACACATTTAAATACTAGAATGTTTCGCGCCATTACACACTTGCGACGACGAAAAATAATAAAAAAAAAAATAAAAAAAAAAAAAACAAAAACAAAACAAAACCGAGGCGAATTTTCAACTCCGTCGCTGACGCCGGAGTAATAAAATCTTTAGTTATCTTTTCTGATAGTTTTTAAGACAGGATGGGCAGAAAAACTCGAAAAATAACGATTCTACATTGTTGTTGATTCTACATTGCTGTTGAAATTATCACTACAAATCACCCAATGTAGTGTATGTCAAGTAAAATAGATGAAAATGTTGATCACAAAGTGAGCTACAAATATTTGTAGGTTTGTAGGCGAGATTCCTGGAAGGCATTGCGTATTTACGCTTCTCTAAGATTCAATTTAAAAAGTATTCGATCGGCAATAAATATTTTGGCTATAGGAAAGCTTTTGAGATGAACTAAACTTATACAAAGCTTTAAGATAATACAATTTCTAGTTGATTTGATGATAAATACTTGCGGATATAATCGAAATCATCTAGATCTGCGTGCGATGGCAATGATTAGTATCTTAAAGTATACTGAGGCCGGTTGTTCGGAAGGCGATTGGAGAAGCAAAAAGTTTACTGAATATACTCTCGTACCTCTTGTGAAGTATTAAATATTTACTTCCATTAGTTTTAAACTATTACAGCTCGGTTGTTCAATAAATGGATAATTTTGTTTTCCATTTTGAGCTTATCCATAGTTGATCATGACTTTCCCGTGTTTAGGTTACTTTATAACGCGTGTTTATGTCATGCTTATTTACCACATGTCAATTATGACGAAATATTGTTTAAAATTCACAATAAAACTCTCCACTGAAATATAGGTGTGTATTTACATGGTAGTCAATTTATTGATACGGCAGGGGTAAAATTGGTACCTGTACCTAATTCTATTAGTGCTATGCTACCAAAACAAAGGCAGAGCGCTGATGAATTGGTTACGGGTACCCGTTTAAGCCGTGCATGCCGATAAATTGTGTGTAGTGAAAACAGGGCTTATATAAGTGAGTAAAAATTGACAGCATGCATGCATCCATGCATGCACCAGCATTTTGATACAATGATAATCGAAAAGAAACTTTTCTAATAATTATGAGTATTGACTCACCTGCTCTGCCTCAACTAGGGTTCACCAGGCAGTTTATTTCAACGTATATTCTTTGAACGATGTCGAGTAGCAGAAGCTTGTTCCGTCTTCCACGTACACAAACTAACATAATAATTAACAGCACCATGCTGTGTTTTTAACGCATTAATTTACTTAGACAAGCACAAGTGGAATCACTGATCTGAAATAAAACTGGATAACGCATCTATAGAAGGCAAAAGTGAAACAAGAAGAGAATTGAGCAAAAAATGTTATGAAGTCGAAATATTCCAAATTTTTTGCTCAAATTTCTTCTCTTATGCTTCTATGTTTGTGATTCTAAAATTGGCCCGGATAGAAACGTGAACAAAGCAAAAAACGCAAAAAACTCCGGTTCTGTAATAGAAATCTATATTAAATTATACGAAAGTGAGGCCTTTGAATCGGATGGCGGCCGGATCACTTCCGGCTTCACTTTTGCCTTCTATAGATGCGTTATCCAGTCTTATTTCAGATCAGTGAGTGAAATATATATAACGATATAACTGGAACGCTACCTTCTGACCGGAAGTTGAAGCTAAGTCACCCCAGTCTTATACACTGTCAAAACAAAAGTATTTTGTTGTGATTTCGTAAAAAAAAATTTTTAGGGAGATAAATAACTGATTTTCTTAGTACTTCCTGCCGGCTGAGGCATTCTTGATGTTAGTAGAATGCATTTTATGGATCTATTTTTGGAAATGCGGAGTAAGACGGTTCTTTGCTAGGAAAAAGCGTAAAGACTAGCGTGACAATGCAGGAATATTTGTTTCACTAGATAATTAATACAACTTTTTTGCCATCTAGTCGCTTAGAATTATTTAAACATAAACTTATAATATTAAACAATGTCTATCAAGTGTATTTTGCGATGAAAAGCTTTTATATAGGATATCCGTTTTGTAGTACAAATATTGTTGTCAAAATTGTACATTTAGAAATTTCACTGCGACTATGCGGGTTGCAAGTTGCCTGATACCGGCTTCAACTTGAATCAGAAAGGCTAATTTTCATTGTCTCTTAAAATTTTCGAACTTTTAAAAGCCAATGAAATATTGAGAACGTACTGATTACTGTAAGAGACAACATGTCATGCTTCTTAAGGCGCGGATTTCCATTTACACCAAAATCGTTCTCTAGCGAAATATTTGCATATTTTCTTTCAAATTTTAACTGCATGAATAAATCAGTGCCACTTGACTGTTCTCTTCAATATTTCAATTCAAAAGAAAAAATGCAAATATTTCGATAGCGAACGATACGCTGTAAGTGGAAATCCGCCTTTAGAGATGAAAGGCTTGATGAAATTCATTACATGCATTGGCGTCCATGACCGTGCTAGCCTATATGGCAGGCGGTCCCTAAAATCGGGCAAGGCGTCCAGACTCTTTTCACCTTTAGTCGAGCATGCCCGTCGTAAAACAAGGTTTGCTTAAAGTCGCTATAAACTTAGTTGAAACGTAGGACTGTCGACGGAGAACATATACCGTATACAACGCGATACACCTTGACCAAAATGTTTAATTCAATTTTCAAAGACGTCAAGCCAAGCCGAGAAACAAAAGATCAAAGAATATACACGACAACAAACTGAAACACAAACCTATACATTTACCTGTTACTAGTAATACATTAATTAACACGGTCAGTTTTATTCTAGGAAGAGGTTCAAAGGGATATGGCAATAAAAATTACTTTCTCAGTTAAACTTTCTTTCATAAAAATTACGTCTAAACGAAAAAACCACTTGTTATGAAGTGTTTTACATTAAAAGTGCTATTTTTGGGGTATTCAGGAAGCCTGGACGTCTTGTATCAAGATTCCCTCTTCTAAATAATTGCAATTGAAAACACCCGTTCACCCTTTGGACTGATGAAGTTAACTTCAGCGTATCTTGTATTTCTGGAATGTTGCTCACGATTTAATTTTAATGCTTCACGTAAATAAGGAGCAGTATCGCCATTTATGCTCTTATAAGCAAATACAGCTTTATTTACTTTACTTTCCTCATAAAATGGGAGCCGTTTCAACCGGTTAAAGAGACAAAGAGTTGGATTGTCGATGACATGTATAAGGAGCGTCTAAGATAACTCTTGCCGCCCTCTTTCGCAACTTAAACACCATATCGGCCATCACTCGAATACATCATAATGGGCTTAATTACATGATTGTAGTAAAGGAGCCCTTTAAACCGGTTTTAAAGATGGATGTTTTTTACCATAGTAATACTCACAGTAATACTACACACATATTATTTATTTTTTGTTGCAGCTTGATTTTGAATTAATACAATATTTTTTCTCTTCTTACATTAATCATTGAAACTATATTTTACCAGATTATGCATGCATAATTATAATGCAGGTGAACCTTACAAGCAGGCTTGGTAAACACACTAGCCAACTTCAAATAAGATGTTACTCTTGTGAGAATTTTACTCCAAAGTTTAGCTATTCATATGATTAGAAACCTCACTTAAGATTTAAATAAAAGAAAAATTGCATGTTCCTGAAATATTTCATTTTTTTTAAATTTGTACTAGCCGCCAGAGGTCCTGTTTCATCCTCACAGTCCTGTTCCACTGAACCTATGGAGATGATTTTTCAGAAAACTCATTATGCTTTGAAGATGATGTATTGAAAGTGTCAATTCCAAAACCTGTAAAATATTCTTTCACTAAACGTGTTAAAGTAGAGCATCCAGAGTACCCAGGGTATTCTGTCCATATATGTGATTCAGAATTGCGTGCTATAGCTAAATCAGGAAATGTCCACAGCATTAAAGCAGAGGTTGATCAGATCAACTGTTGTTAACATGACAGCAAGAGCAGCAGCATCTGAGCCATTTTGTCTTTAAATCTGCTCACAGCAGAAATAGAGGAGCTAGCATCGATAATTGGGAGCGGGACCCATATTCATATATTCATGTCAACAGACTGTAAAGACAATTGATTCGAAAAGAAATTAATCCTGCGTATCATGAACATATGAATTTGACCCCCCCCCCCCAATTATTGTGCTGGCTACGCCACTGCTTGTAGCTGTATGTTAAAATCATCTAAAAAGTATAAGGAGAACTCTTCTTGAAAATTATGCATGTATTATATATATGTACACCATCTTTGATATTTGATGTTGGACCCTCTGTTCCATGTTAATCGTGCATGGTGAGTTTGGTTACTTTCGTTTCTTATTTTCCATCACAAGGATGCTGAGTAACAACAATATGACCAAAAAATCGGATGAGAAATAAAGAGTTTTGCCCTTCAAAAGCTCTTAAGTACTTGTCGATAAGCATTTAATTCTTATCATTATAATTATATTCAAATGATTGGCAATTATTTTTCCGCATTTTCTCATTCAACTACTCCATATTGCATGGTAACGTCGATGATCTTTTATTGAGAGGACATATGTGACCGTTCTGACTCATTGCCTGAGAATATTATGCAATTTTCGTAACCATATGATCTAAAGGTCACCTTGATTGATCGTGGTAATGAAAACTAAGAAAGTAACGCATATGCTTAATTTTATCACTGCACAATATGCTTGGAAATTGAACAGATTTTTTCCTAAAACCAAGTTTTTAAACAAGTTGGCCAATTTTGCAGTCACAATTCTTCATTTCGCAGTTTTTTCTTTCCCACTTTACATCTCTGGTGCAAAAAAAGTACAAAGCTGCGATGACTCACAATGACATGAAGACACAAATTTCAATATGAATTCTAATTTTAACAATTATCAGTTGACAGAAATATGGTAAACATGTCAAAGAATTTAGATACATCTAGATGCATAATGAAACGAACCTATGAGTTTTCAGTTTTATATGGTACGAGGGGACCAAATTCGTGAGGGAATTTTCACTGATTGCACTAGCAAGCGCAGGTATGTTGAAGTATGTGCATTACATCCACTTATTGAAGATTATATTTAGATACCTAATTCGTTCGAGGTAACACCCTGATATCAAGCCTTGAATTTGTAATATAATCATGAAATATAATTTATCATTGCACATTTTATTTTCATCACTGCACATAATGAATTGTTATTACTGCACACAAAAATTAGGTATGAATACAATCGAAAATAAGTTTGTTATTATTTTCTTACATCTGGAGCCACGCTTATTTATTGGAATGCTGAGGTATCCCTGTATGTTAAGGAAATCACAACCAAAAAGTGTTAGTGTGATATACAATACATGCGCTAGAGATTAAGTATATAACACCAAAACCAACATAAAGAATTATGAAAGTTTATTTAAATGCAGCTAGTTGATACGAAAAATCAACTCCAGACTCTTGCACAGGAATCAAACCTGCATACTCCTCTGTGACACTCGATCTTATAAAACATTCATTTTCTTCCGTGTATATCCTCTACCTACAAAATGAATCTTCGTCTCGCCCGTACTGCAGTGAATTCTTTCAATTTTCAATGACAATGCAATATTCTGGAGGAAGCATGTTCAAGAGAAAGAGATATTGATTTCATCACGTCAGCTGTGAAAGATGTTTTTATTCCAAGACAGAACAAGTTTAACAAGAAGGAACAACTTGGATGAAAAAAAATGGAAACACGAGTACCGGAAAAGTTGAATTATCATTGGTTGGGGCGTGGTTATCAGCTGTCTATAAAAAAAGTCGCTAGATGGTTGTTTCATTCATTTCTGATTTCACAGATACCTCAACGCCTAGCAAATTGATCTTCGTGAAAAGTTCTAGAGTCGCTTCAGGTTGGGAAAGTATTTTTATTTATATATATGTATATACATATAGCTATGTTTCTGATAGTATAAAGTGATCTATGCCGTCAATTTATTAATAGTGTACAATGATGCAAGTGGCTTTCGTATTCCTTATATTTCTGGTTAACGTCATGAGCGTCCATGCTGGGACCGACTTCGATAAGACATGGACATTCACTTGTCCACATGGTATGTTAAGTGTCCTCCTCCAGTATTTATTGCTTTTATATTATCAACAATACAAGTGTCAAGGCTCTGCAATGATATGAACATTAGCTTAATCACGAAGTAAAAGTGAAAGAGGAAAAAATAAAGTTTTCTTCTGAAATGCGAACATTCGTCATTTGAACTCAGGTTTTTGACCCCAGACGAAGTTGAAATGCATTGTGCGATTTGTACATACACCTCTTAGGGCCTGCTTACATGGAGCGAGATATCCCGGCTATAGGCGGGGTAAAAAGCGCATCACATTACAGGATTAGTTATTAGTCTTTCATTATATGCAGTTTTCACCTCGCCTAGCCGGGATAACCCGCTCCATGTAAACATGCCCTTATTTTTTAAACTTTGATTTCACATACATAATGTACAGTAACTTTGAATTGAAGCTACATGCATATACAAACACGATAAAAATCCTGCAAATAGACCTTTCTTATAATGACATCAAACGCGAAATGTCTGATTATACAAGAAATTTGATTGGCTCCACAAAACTATTGAGCCAATCAAACTGTGTGTAACATCAGACTTTCCACGTTTGACGTCATTATAAAAAAGGTCTATTGCCTACAACCAAAGTCACTTAATAACTTCATACCTATAATAATGCCCTAGTCCGGCTAGATTACTTTGATAGGTTGTTTTTAGCTCGAAATTGCAGTTCACAAAATCTTAATTCTTAAACATAGGACAATCTATTAATCACATCAGCAGTGTCCATAGCAACAGGCACGAAGACCGCTCGTGGACATTCAGGTGCAGATATAGCTCGAAAATTGCTGCGACATGCTACTGGACAGGATGGGTGAATGCGTACGATCAAGAGCTAATTTATCAATGTCCTAATGGAGTTATCGCGGGTATAAACTATATTGTGATATACGTGCATAAGTAATTTTCACATTGGTTGGTTGATAAAGCATGAATGTTCAAATCTCAAAATGTTTTTTTATTAATATAATTCAGGTGTTTATTCCAAACACAGCAACAAACGTGAAGACAGACGATTTAAGTTCAGATGCTGTCGTACAAAAAATAATTGTCAACGTGATTGTTCATGGACCGCTCATGTTAATAACTGGGATGGTTATATGAATTACAATGTACCCTTGACTAAATTTCTCGTTGGAGCACAAAGCCTTCACGATAATGGAAAAGAGTAAGTCTGTGAATATTTTTCTTTTTCCACCAATGGAAGCTAGGACACAAAAATTATTGACTTCAATCATCGCTGCATGGTAGAACTCGAAGAAAGCACATTCAATGATAGATTGCCTTAAAAACCCCAAACCCGGCCAAAGTATAAAATTATAATACCCAAGCATATTATATAATACCTATAAATATAAAAATTATACATTTCACTGCTTCTCTCTCTCAAGAGAACTTACTTTTCCCTGTTAAATTCAACAGCGCTGCACTGGACGTAACAAACAAACATGCATCAAACAAACATCAAACTATTATATATATCAAATGAACAACACTCTGATTTGCACTGATATTTTCACTATGATTTTAATTATATTTAATGAGTGGCCTATTTTTCCTGTTTTTAAATAACATGCATTAGTTGTCAGCGAAGATTTATGCTTCTTAATTACTGCATGCGTACGGCATTGATATTATTTTCACGTTGATCACTTTTTTTAATTCCTTCATAACCACCGCAAACTCGTATTACTAGGGCTTTATAGACCAGATATGAAACCCTACGTAGAGTCTTTAAATTCCCTTGATTATTACAGATGTTTAGATCGATGCTGTTTTCATACCCATGATTTTTTTTATAGGGACAGGAGATGGAGATTCCTTACCTGTCGACAAAGCTGAATTCTGATCTTTTATTGTGTCCTCACTAATTCTCATATAATGAAATCATGCATGTTTAACTAAATTTTCTTAAGAATCCTTACTGCAGCATAAACGAAGAAATAGTTTTAACTACGAAATTCTTACTTATCACAAATAAAATTTGAAAAACACAACAGTTCTTTATCACTTTCAATTATTCCTGCACCTCGTCTCGCACTTATCCTAACCGTATATATACGTATTATAACTAAATTCATATATAAAGCATTTGTCTGAATTTGTGGATGCAAAACCGAATTTCTTTAACTTCAGTCTTCATGTTTTATCGGTCTTTTTACTCGTTTTGATTAGCTTTACGAAGCTGAAACTTCATAACAAACAGTTTCAATTAAACTCACGCAGTGACCGATTTTAATAAGCCCGGTAATAATATTTTGAATGATGTCAGACTGAGATACGATTTTTATTGAACTATCAGACACGAACTATTTCAAGACATGCCTGGTATGTTTATACCAAGTACCAACGATCAATAGGGTCACACTGATTTTTTGAAGTTGCGAATCTCACCTTTCTAACCCGATATGTAAATATAATTTAAATTATCTGATAGAAACCTACTCATCTGTAATATTATGGTGTTCATTCTAATCTATGCAAATTACACAATAGACATGATTTAGGAAAAAAATCCATCGGGCTCGCCCGGGAATTGAACCCGGGACCTCTCGCACCCTAAGCGAGAATCATACCACTAGACCAGCGAGCCACGCTTGTTTTATAGTTTTAGAATACAATATTTATATTTACTACCAGTTGTACAACAAAGAAGTATTCACGGCAAAATTGTTGCCTGGCAACTTGGGCTGGTGGCGTGCGCCATATCTACAGGTCATATTTCACATTTTTAAATCTTGTCAGGGAACGCACGCAATAAACCTCGTGTAACTCACGGGGTAAATATCATTGAAAAACCTGCGGTTTTTAAAGTCTGTCAGTCAGAGTTTCAGAGATTATGATACACAGGAGAAACGTTAAGACTTTTGTGATTGTGCGACGTCAAGGTGCAATTTCAACTGAGGTCAACCCTGGGTCAATCGACAACGGGCATCAACTGTCACAACATTGACAAAAGAGCGGTTCAAATATGCTTTTCTTTGCGACGATACAATTCTTAAGCCTGGTTTCCATTTAATCGTAATTGTCGTGCATGAGTCATTTTCGCCGATGAGAAAGAGTCCGGTTGTAAATCTCTATTTGTTGTCTGCACACAAATAGAAATATTTTATCACATCAGCCACCTTGACATGTTCACGACACTTAACGACTTTACGGAAACCAGGCGTAAAGGCTGTTTTCCACTTATCGCAAAATCAACTCGCGAGGTCGCTGCGAGTATTTGCGTGTAATTGAAATAATTTTTTAAGGATAAAGTTCTCAAATTTCTGAGATCTGGTGTTGTATACCTTTTCAAGTGATGATGCTGTTCCACATCGTACGTGGGTCAAACCACACGCCATCTACACACCAGAGTATCCAACACTTGGGAATTTTCCCTAACTGGAGACCGTCATCCAGTCCAGTTAACCATCATCTAGTCCAGTTAAGCGTCATCCAGTCCAGTTAAGCGTCATCTAGTCCAGTTATGTCGAGCATGAACTCTATATGATAAGGCAATTCCTCCTAATGATACGGCAATTCCTCCTAGAGGAACAAATAAACCGTTCTTTTGATGTTGTTCGTGTTTAGATTTAAATGGGGTAAGAATATATTTAATATATGTAGATTCTGGTCCTATTTTAATAATATCGCTGCTATTTCGCCGTTTAACAAGATGTCGTCGTGTATGGGCGCGTTCACACGTCGCAGTTTGTACACGATTGAAGATTTAATATAATCCGGCAAAGTGGAAACGGGGCGCTTAGCGAATGATCGGAGAGCGTAATTGTACAACAACCGAATGTAAACTAGGTTAATTCACGTCAAATTCACAGTTGCATGTACTACACGGAACAATGTCAAAAGCTCTTGACTGATATTATGACACATCGTCATTTAATACAAAGTGTAAGTTCCGATACCCAATATCCTCGTAAATTCTATGTACACGAAGCTAGCGAGTTCAGTGCCTCGGCGAATATTGTCGTGGGTCGAGGAATAAACCAGAAATGCCTGGAGAAACTGAAGTTAATGGAAAATGAATTTCAAGAGTGGAATCGTATTTTTAATCGCATACTATATCGCAAAGGTTTTTTACCTGAAGAAGATATATATTTAGAAGCTACATTGTGATTTTAAGATAAAATAATAATTCCCGCACAAAGATAAAATTATTGCATGCGAGTTCATTTTTTTTATTATTTGAACGTATGCATGGTTTCAGTGTGAGCAGATCTGGTAATTTTTATTACCAAATTCGGTGCATGGGATGCACAAAGGCAACCCCGTCTGATTTTAATAATTACCAAACTTATACCAGGAGGGGGCATTCTAAGTAGATTTGGACAGCTATGGTTTTAAAAATTTTGCGTATATGGTCACACTGTATGGTTTACCAATTGGTCTAACAATATCAAAGTGTAAAATATTGATCCCTTTTTCCCACCCATCTTGGGCAGTGCAAAGGAATGAGAACTTTATTTTGTTATAATTTAGATTATTAGGACCAAAACAGTGTGCAATTAATATGGTTTACAGTACTGAAACACTAGCACGCATGTCTTTACTCGAATACGCTGCCAGGATTTAATACTGGAATTCTACAACGACTGGACTCAAACTTTTGCCCCCTACTGTATGGTCACACTGCAGTATGGTTTACAAATACATGGGTGTAACAATATCAGAGTGACATATTGATCCTCGACATTTTCTCGTCCCCTTTGGACTGATTATCCTCGACCCTCGACTATTAGTAAAACTCGACGCGTGTGAATACACATATTCAAATCAGATTACCCTTCATGAACCAAAGGAGGAGCAAACCGCATGAACCAAAGGAGCAGCAAACTGCTTTAACAACTTGAAGTAAAAATATAACTATACGATAACTGGTTTTGTTACCTCGCGAAAACTTTAAGAAAATTTGTTATCCAGGAAAATGGCGGAACTGAAACTCCTCGTATTGCTTGTCATCTTTCACGCCTTGCTGCATTGGCGCAAAAGGTATGCTCCAAGTTTCATTTTAGGAATTTGAAATTTAAGACGGAAAACGAACGGGGATTGCTGATAATACAAACGTATAGCATACTCATATTGAATACCAACATATAAGACAGGCTGGCGCGGTAAATTAGGCCATAAAAGGTCTAAAGCTGAGTGATTCCGAGTTTGATTGAAAATTTGAGTGCAAAATGAAAGTGCTAAATTTTTTTCCTTTGCTTAAGACATCTCATCATATGACAAAGAGTGACATGAGATAGAACTATTGTTTGCTGATTGCACATTTGAATCACCGAAGTATCGTTCAATCTGACTTTTATTTCTCTGACTTCCTTTCCTGTAATGTAGTTTATTTCCTTCACTCCATTTTTTTATTATTAAGCACATGCATGTTTTCTTAAAGAGTTGTAAACAATTATGAACGCTGTGTGTCTTTCTTCTTCCGTTTAATATGAATTCTTTGCATATTGAAATATGGACAAAAATGTTTAACAGCAATCTAATTTAGTCATGTGGAGAATGCCATGCAAGAAAAGTCTAAACGCTTTTATATAACTGCTTATTTAGTGCATTCGATTTTATTCCTAGTCTAGCAATTCCCCTCGTTATAATTCAATACACGTTGCAAAATTTGAAACAGAATTAATAATGATAGAAATAACATGTTGGGCTAATATAAGTCGTTGGCAATCACTGAATGAAAGCAATTCCTGCGGTTGTATACAGGTTTGAATTATATGGCAATATAACATTACTTGAAGCAAACACACATGTGACTGTCAGTGTCGCAGATGATCTGTCACTTTTCCTGATGTGTCCGTGGCGTGGCTAACACACGCTTTCCGACAAATATAAGTAGGCTTGTATTTGTGCATCGGTCACGTCCGGTCTGTGTACTTATACTGACATTGATCTCAACTTTTATGAATGATGCAGTATTTTGTTTTGTTTGTTCGACGGGTTTCAACTGCAACCATTATTTGGTACAACTTACTCGTTAACGGTCAAAAGAGAAAAGGTACCTTCATGTGGCGGGGCAAGCCCAGATTCCACAAGCCAAATGTTTAATTTTAGCAAAATTATGGAATAGTTATACGCATGCGTGGTGAAGACAGGTGAGATTTCGGTTGGGAAAGATAGTAACAATTTGGCATCACGTATCACGCATGGAGATATTAATTCTCGTGAAAAAATTCCGCTTTATTACACAAAAACACGAAAGCCCTGTTCATCTGGGCGGAAGTTTACGACCAACTAAATTCTACCTTACAATTTACATATGACGAAACTTTATCCGGAAAGACGTAAAATTTTCAGTTGTGACGTATGCTCTTCCTGGTTGGCGGAACTTGGCGACAAAATTAGGAATTCGACAAAGATGCTGACCAAACATTTGAGGAAAATATTCTCCCACTTACCGAGATCTCGCCTTTTATCAAGCGACCGAAGCGAGATCTCGGCAGTTGAATTTGCAAATAAAAATCATCGCTCGGATTTACATTCCTCCACTGCCGAGAATGGACAAGAGTTCATACATATACAGGGTGTATCAAAAAAAACGCAACCACTTAATATTCTAAAATTCATATTGTTTATAAGCTCAATAGATTTTATGCCCCTGGGATTTTAAAATGGCTTCTAATCGTACAGCTCAACTGCTAATGGTCAAATCAGCTAAACTAATAACGGTGCAGTTAACAACCGAACAACGAGTTTTTATTGTCGTGCATGATAACTTGAATGCTAACTGTCGACCTTGTAAGATGAATTGTAAATAAAATTTTACTCGTTAAATACTTTCAATTCAGCTCGTTGGTTTACGCACCCGACTTTGTTTACCAACGATTGTGCCGCTAGAATATGATTACAAGCTTTCTCGCATTCCAGGGGCCAAACGTCTTTTGTGTTGTAGAACAAAGAGGATATTCATGAATATTAAGTGGTTGCGTTTTTTTTGATACACCCTGTATGTACAAGAACATCCTGCAGTAAATCAATTTGAAATGAAACGAAAGCGTGTTGAATGATGTACGAGCAGCTTTCAGGCTTAAAATGCCAGAAATCATTGCTTGGTGTTTAAGTCAGTGTTATTTATTACCTGGAAAATGTGAGTTGCTACGTTCGAGCAAATATCAAACCGGTATATATTATTACTGTAAACGCTTGTTATACCGACGAATATAAGTGAGAACAACGGCTTAACTTAGAGCCTCTACACACGAGAAGTTTTTTTGTGGATAATTATTTAATAACTTAATAACTTAGCCATACATTCTATACAGAACGTAAACGCGGAAATAAAACAAAAGGCACATGGCGGGGTTGACATGAGCTCCCTAGGACGTTAATCAACAGAAGCTATTTAGGGTGAATTATTTGTTGTCAAGTCGTCGAGAAGTTAGTGAAGTTAGTCGTAGACAACTATATACAGTCGATTCAGTTTAGTTGTTGGCAACTAACGAGAGGGAAACTCGTTATTTGTTGATAACTATTTTTCAGAGCGACAGCCGACAAGCTATAAATTATAACGCGTATGAGACGGCCATCTTCAACTAACTTAAAAACTAGTGGAACTTTCTTTCACCCTGAAGTTTGACACAAGAGTCTTAAAGGGTCTTTTTTTAATAAGTATCATTTAAATGATTTTAAACTCAGCGTACATTGTACAACAGTGGAAAACAGCTCTTAGTCAGCTGCTGTTGATTTCGATGATATGACTTAAAATGCAATTGTTATATACCTAGTGTTATATACCTATTGAAGTTAACTTTATATTATTTCATATTTTAATTTATACAGGTAATGTCTAGGAATTGGCTTTTCTTTGGCCTCCGGTTTACTTTCATTTTGACACTAGATATAAAAACAAATCATTTATTTACTGACACCTCGTGAAAGAAGTGTGTTTTGTTGACTCTCGACCGTTCGTTGTTGCCCTCGGCTTTGCCTCGGGCCACTACGACGGTCTCGGGTCAACAAAACGACACACAGTTTCCCTCGGCGTCAGTAAATAAGTGCTTTTAAAAAATCTCTTTTGACTCGACTTGGAGTAGTTTTAAATGATACATGCAGCTGTTTAATTTAATACTTTGATTCAACCAGTTTTAAATATTAGCAATCGTGCCTGTCGATAATATAATTTGTTGTTTCCAATAGAATGTTCTTCTCCGTGGCAAAATTTTGGCAATGTCTGTTATTCCAAGACTACTCAAAGTGCTACCTGGAATAATGCGAAGGAGCGATGTAAAAGCAAGGGTGGTCGACTTGCAAGAATTCATTCGTCTGCCCTCAACACATTTCTTTTTCAGACGTTTGTAACAGGAGATATTAACGTGTGGGTTGGTTTAAAAAGATGTAAACATGGACCATGGTGTTATCCATATGGAGCGCGATCAGATTATTTCAAATGGGCAACAGGACAACCTGATAATGCAAAAGGGAAGGAAGATTGTGTCGCAATGAACAACACCGGATTTTGGAATGACGAAACATGCAAATTCAAGAAACAAGGAATCTGCGAGAAATGTGAGTGAAATGAATAATTACACACTACCAAATAATTGGTCTTTTTAATGTATCCTGAACACATATTAGTCATGATTTTTATATACCTATCCCTGCCTCTAGTGTTGTTAAACATAGACTAATCAAGTTTAAAACTTTGCATTTGACAGTTGTTTTTAGCAACAGTAATAGCACAACCTGCCAGATGTTGAAATAGATTTTCAGTTCTGTATATTCCGTTCAAACCTAGTTACAAACTTTCCAAATGGGTGCGAAAAATCTTCAAGACGAACAATGCTTAGCACGCGAAACGAGAGCCTCGCTTTTTTGCTGAAGCTTATCTCTGCAATGGCCGAATTCCTTTAAGAAATTAGAAATCCTTTTCATGCCCAGCATGAATTTTATTAATTGTCACGACAACAGAGATTAAGGCGAGGGATTTAGGGACAGCTGATTATAGATGGGAATAAAGATTTCCGGCTCATCCCCGATATTAGTGATGACATAATTTTTATTAACGCTAAATCATTTCTTTTGAAACTAAAACATTGTAGACCAGGATGAATGTGTGTTTGGAAAGCCAAAATGTCATTCTAACGCCACGTGCAGCAATACTGTTGAATCATACAATTGTACTTGTAATGAAGGCTTTATAGGAAATGGAAAAGTCTGCGAAGGTAGAGTGCATAGAATACGAACAGCTTATGAAGAATATTTAACACTTATTTATTGCAAACAAAGGAAACATTATGTTTTCTGGACCCGAGGCGAAGCCGATGGTCAAAGCCGAAATATCGATGGTCGAGGGTCTACAAAACATAATGTTTTCTGAGTTCTCGGTAAATATTAAGTTTTTTATTATATACCACTTGTCAAAGAAAAATTCTATTTAATACCACTTAATTGTCAAAGGTAAACAACGAAATATCTATTCATATAAAAGACATAATTTTAAATGGATAAACAGTCTGAAGGTCACACGTTTAGGTGCGCCTAACACGTTATCTCACTCTGCAGGGGGTCGCGCTGGCGACATCAAAATTTCGTAACTCTCGCGCGATTCGCTCTCGACCCAAGAAATGCAACGAACACCAAACTTTGACAAGTGGTATATAATAATCAAATTTCACATCGAGTAAATCAGATATTCGCTCGGTGAATATGGTATTCATGATATTTATACTTATGATATCACACGTGGTATGAAATATATTTATGTAATGTCATTTATTTACGCATACAGCCATTTGCAGGCCATATATTGCCAGCCATGAATTTCGAACACCCCTTCCGCTCAGTTTTCTGAGCATCAATAATGACACATTAAATTTTACGCAGTTTTGGGATAATTTTGGCTAAGAGTAATGGTTCTCCTAGCCGCTTTATTTCTGTCAAACAAAACGATATTTATTAATACATTCCATTAAAATTCCAAATATTTAGGCACACTACTGCCAGCACCTGTATATACGCCTACTAAGATCGCTAATTAAAATATAACGGTCGTCTCTCTATATATATCAGCTACTGTAAATCATGCAATGTACATAATTGCTAGTGGAAGCTTTAGGGAGGAGGTGGGTTCAACTTTAAACGAGATCTTTCTTCTTCGATGTCACGCTTAAACTGCCCGTTTGTGGTTTGGGCATTCGCTCTTGTTAGTTATCAAATTGTTGCTGGCCATTGACCACCGTTCCCATATTCCGTGCACTCCATTACCTGTCGGTCTTTTAGATAGGGCAGCCAGCCCATCCTATAAGAGTTTTAATTATCGTCGGCAAGGCGTATCCTCTTGGGGTTACACCTTGCCTTAGTACTCTATTTATAAAATCACATCACATAAATTTCTTATTTCTTTGTAAATTTTTTGTTTTAATATCAGAGTGTGAAATTAGTCTCAATTAGTCTGGCAAAAAATGGTCAAATATTCCGGCAAATTTTGATGACCATATTTCAATGATCTAATTGCCAATGATCTACCAATACTAATAGCATTCTCTATCACACGCGACTATATTTAATAATGCATCCGAAGAAAATAGAGAGTTTAATTAATTCTTTCATGAAAATCTCGATGAAACAAATCTCGAGGAAAACATTTGGATTTTATGGAAAACAACACTGTCTCACTATTTCGTTCTCACTGTTTGTTTTTACAAAAATACTACATAATATAAATCCAGTCAATCCATCCATACTCATTTCTTCGTATAAAAAGGAAAATCGTTTTTTTTGAACGACACGTGATTACGAAATCAACGTGAGGTTACCTTCACATAAGGCTACCTTATGTGAAGGTCTATTCACATGATCCAATTTTGTTGCATCCCATTCACTTCTGATAGATGTTTTATAGTTTGTTGTCTTGTCTTGTATATCAGCAGCAAATCCACTGAAGTCAATGCACTACGGCTTCATCGATAGTTGACTATATTCCATACGTCTGAAGTGGTTTGGATCCAAGAGTCCTGTTATTTTCAAGGTTTATTTGCGGCGATAAACATTAATTGGATATTGCATGTCTTAATTAACATTATTTTGAACTTCAACCGTAGATCAGGATGAATGTGCGTTGAAGACTCATGGATGTCATTCTTACGCCACGTGTCACAATACCATTGGATCATACACATGTTATTGTAATAAAGGATTTACAGGAAATGGAACCGTTTGTGAAGGTAAAGAGTGCGACCCGAGGTACAATGTTCCTTGTTCATTACAGGAATTCGGTACTTATGGTCTAAAATAGTCATAACTTGTCCAGAAGGAAGATCAAGGAGTGCGCGTAGCATGTTGGGAAAACTTAAACCTTTCTCTACCTAAACCTTTCTCTTCCAAAACCTTTCTCTTCCAATAATTCACCCGAGCCTCATGCATATATGTAATAAACTCTATCCATCTATTTGTTCAAAACTAAATTCTGCAATCTGTTCTAGACGTGGACGAGTGTGCGTTGGAGACCCACTATTGCCATTATGAAGCCACGTGTAACAATACCATTGGTTCATACGCATGTGTATGTAATGAAGGATTTTCAGGAAATGGAACTATTTGCGAAGGTACATTGCAAAAAGTTGAACGTTGCACTCAAATACCGATTGTAAAATCCTTTCTGTTTAGCAAGCCGATGTCCATCAGCGTCCTGGACAAGTTTTGGAAGCTACTGTTATCGTTTGAATTCCAATGCTCTAACCATGCAGGATGCGAGCGACTATTGTGACAGCATTGCCGGACAGCTTGTCAGACTTACGGGGGAAGATCTCAAAAACTTTCTTGTTCAAACGTACGCAAAGGACATCAAAACAAGGTTTTGGATTGGTTTGCAGAAGTGTAAAAATGGATGTTGTTATCTTGATGGGAAGAAAACGATTTACACCAATTGGGAAAGAGGAGAACCGAATAATGCAGGGGGAAGGGAAACTTGCGTCGAGATGTTCAGAAATGGGCGATGGAATGACAATCCATGTTATCACAAATACCCATCTATATGCGAAACCAGTAAGTCATTATTGAAAATTATCACATTTCGAAATTATAATTATTCACGAATAACTGGCAATTAAATCATTTCTCTTGATTTCCCACTCAGGCATCGATGAGTGCCATTACAGATGTCATCATAATGCAACATGCAACAAAACAATCGGATCATACACTTGTGTTTGTAACGAAGGATTCACAGGAAATGGAACCGTTTGTGAAGGTATGGTAGGTCAGTATTACTATAGTCTATCCTCGCGTTACTACAATGCATGTTGATGCTACGTCTAACAATATCATTGAATTGGATAATACATGTGTACATGTGAAGAAGGGTTTACATTAAACGGAAACATCTGCATAGGTTGATTAACGTCAGCAAAAGTACACGGTTATCTACATATGTTGGGTACTAATTATCAAACACTTAAAAATTAAAACTTTAGATGTAGATGAATGTGCATTGGAAACGCATACATGTGACTTGAATGCCACGTGTAACAATTCTATTGGATCATACACATGTACATGTAAGGAAGGATTTACAGGAAATGGGACAAAATGTGAAGGTATGGTAAGACGTTAGCAGGTTACGAGAATGACATGACGATGATCATCTTACATAATTGAAACTGAACATTTAATATATTTTTCTAACTCCTAAATTCTAGACGAAGATGAATGTGCTTTGGAAACCCATACATGTGACTTCGACGCCACGTGTAACAATACCATTGGGTCATACACATGTATATGTAAAGATGGATTTACAGGAAACGGAACTAATTGCGAACGTACGTTAAAAAAATTGAATGTTGCATTCAATTGCAAATATTCCCATCATGCATAAAAGATTTGAGCTACGCTAATCAGCACTGATACTTTACAGTAACAGAGTCAAAAAAACAATTGCACGAGCTAAAATACGGGTTGTAAAAAGTAAAAACCTTTCTGTTTAGCAAGCCGGTGTCCATCAGCGTCCTGGACAAGTTATGGCAGCAACTGTTATCGTTTAAATTCCAATGCTCTAACCATGCAGGGTGCGAGCGACTATTGTGACAATATTGCCGGACAGCTTGTCAGACTTACGGGAGAAGATCTCAAAAACTTTCTTGTTCAAACGTACGCAAAGGACATCAAAACAAAGTTTTGGATTGGTTTGCAGAAGTGTAAAAATGGATGGTGTTATCTTGATGGGAAGAAAACGATTTACACCAATTGGGAAAGAGGAGAACCGAATAATGCAGGAGGAAGGGAAACTTGCGTCGAGATGTTCAGAAATGGGCGATGGAATGACAATCCATGTTATCACAAATACCCATCTATATGCGAAACCAGTACGTCATTAATGAAAATTATCACATTTCGAAATTATAATTATCAACGAATAACTGGCAATTAAATCATTTCTCTTGATTTCCCACTCAGACATCGACGAGTGTCATTACAGATGTCATCATAATGCAACATGCAACAAAACCATCGGATCATACACTTGTGTTTGTAACGAAGGATTCACAGGAAATGGAACCGTTTGTGAAGGTATGGTAGGTTAGTATTACTATAATCTATCGTGGCGTACTACATTGAATGTTGATGCCACGTCTAACAGTACCATTGAATTGGATCATACACATGTACATGTAAAGAAGGATTTACATTAAACGGAAACATCTTCAAAGGTTTATTAACGTCAGAAAAAGTACACGGTTATCTACATGTTGGGTACTAATTATCAAACACTTAAAAATAAAAATCTTAGATGTAGATGAATGTTCTTTGGAAACCCATACATGTGACTTGGATGCCACGTGTAACAATACCATTGGATCATACAAATGTATATGTAAAGATGGATTTACAGGAAATGGGACCTCGTGTATAGGTATGAAATGCAAAAAAAATTTATATTTACTTGCGAGGTACTGATTATTATTGAACATTAATTCTCAACTAAAACCTTGAACGACGATGAGTGTGTTTGGAACCCTATGGAGATCACTTTAAAGCCACGTGTAACAACGTCATCGGATCATACCTGATTTACTTGATTACAATAATTTTGAAAATTTTAACCTTAGATGAAGATGAATGTGCTTTGGAAACCCATACATGTGACTTCGATGCCACGTGTAACAATACCATGGGATCATACACATGTACATGTGAAGAAGGATTTACAGGAAACGGAACAAAATGTGAAGGTATAGTAAAACGCTAACAGAATACGAGCATCACATCACGGCTTATGTACTTGGAATTGAAAATTTAATGTATTTTTCCAATCTAAAATGCTAGACGAGGATGAATGTGCTTTGGAAACCCATACATGCGATTTGGATGCCACATGTAACAATACCATTGGATCATACACATGTACATGTGAAGAAGGATTCACAGGAAACGGGACCTCGTGCAAAGGTATGTAAATTGCAAAGTAAATTCATATCTACTTGCGAGGTACAATTGAACAACATTGATTGAAAACTAAAACGGTAAAAAAGCAAAACCTTAAACCAGTGGTGTACCGGGAACGACAATGGGGGGGGGGGCAGGGGGTCACATATTTATATTTTGTTAACCTGCAAAGACAATGGATTTGAAAACAAATTAATCTTCCACAACATGAATATATGAATATGTGCCCCCCAATTACCGTCACCCGTACCGCGCCACTGCCTTAAACGACGATGAATGTGTATGGAACCCTATGGAAATCACTTTAAAGTCATGCGGTGTAACAATACCACACTGGATCATAGTTGAAATGCTCTAATTTCCACATGCCTTTATCTGATTACCGTAATTTCGAAAATTTTAACCTTAGATGAAGATGAATGTGCTTTGGAAACCCATACATGTCACTTCGATGCTACATGTAACAATACTATTGGATCATACACATGTACATGTGAAGAAGGATTTACAGGAAATGGGACAAAATGTGAAGGTTTGTTTAAACGTCAGCAAAAGTGCATGGTTATCTACATGTTGAATCTACAAGTTTATCAAATATATAAAACTAACAACCTTAGATGAGGATGAATGTGCTTTGGAAACCCATACATGTGACTTGGATGCCATGTGTAACAATACCATTGGATCTTACACATGTACATGTAAAGCTGGATTTACAGGAAACGGAACCTCGTGTATAGGTATTTCATGCATTTTAAATGTATATTTACTTGCGAGGTACTGATTATTATTGAAAAGCAATTCAAAACTAAAACCTTAGAAGAATGTGAAAGTGTATGGAACCCTATAGAGACTACTTTAAAGTCACACGTATGTCATTGGACCATACTTAAATGTTCTTCTTTTCACATGCTTCTGCTTCATTACAATAATTTTGAAAATTTTAACTTTAGATGAAAATGAATGCGCTTTGGAAACCCATACATGTCACTTGGATGCCACGTGTAACAATACCATGGGATCATACAAATGTACATGTGAAGAAGGATTCACAAGAAATGGGACCTCGTGCAAAGGTATGAAATGCAAAGTAAATCTAAATTTACTTGCGAGGTACTGATTATTATTGAACATTAATTCTCAACTAAAACCTTGAACGACGATGAGTGTGCATGGAACTCTATAGAGATCACTTTAAAGCCACGTGTAACAATGTCATCGGATCATACTTGATTTACCTGATTACAATAATTTTGAAAATTTTAACTTTAGATGAAGATGAATGCGCTTTGGAAACCCATACATGTCACTTGGATGCCACGTGTAACAATACTATTGGATCATACACATGTACATGTGAAGAAGGATTCACAGGAAACGGGACCTCGTGCAAAGGTTTGTAAATTGCAAAGTAAATTGATATTTACTTGCGGTACTGATTATTATTGAATATTACAGTAGTTCAAAACTAAAACCTCGAACGACGATGAATGTTTATGGAATCCTATGGAGATCACTTTAAAGCTACGAGTAACAACGTCATTGGATCATAGTTATAATGGGGTTTTTTACTTGCTTTTACCTGATTACAAAAATTTTGAAAATTTTAACTTTAGATAAAGATGAATGTGCTTTGGAAACCCATACATGTGACTTGAATGCCACGTGTAACAATTCTATTGGATCATACACATGTACATGTGAAGAAGGATTTACAAGAAACGGAACAAAATGTGAAGGTATAGTAAGACGCTAACAGATTACGAGCATCACATCACGGCTTACGTACTTGGAACTGAACATTTAATGTATTTTTCCAACCTAAAATGCTAGACGAGGATGAATGTGCTTTGGAAACCCATACATGTGATTTGGATGCCACGTGTAACAATACCATTGGATCATACACATGTACATGTGAAGAAGGATTCACAGGAAATGGGACCTCGTGCAAAGGTATGTAAATTGCAAAGTAAATTGATATTTACTTTCGAGGTACTGATTATTATTGAACATTAATTCAGAACTAAAACTTTTAACGACGATGAATGTGTATGGAACCCTATGGAGATCACTTTAAAGCCTCGTATAACAACGTCATGGGATCTTATTAACATTCTCTTCTTTTCACATGCTTTTACCTAATTACAAAAATTTTGAAAATTTTAACTTTAGATGAGGATGAATGTGCTTTGGAAACGCATACATGTGACTTGGATGCCACGTGTAACAATACTATTGGATCATACACATGTACATGTAAAGATGGATTTACAGGAAACGGAACCTCGTGTATGGGTATGCTATGCATTTTAAATGTATATTTACTTGCGAGGTATATACTGATTATTATTGAACAGTAATTCAGCAAATAGAACAAAATGTGAAGGTATAGTAAGACCCTAACAGATTACGAGCATCACATCACGGCTTACGTACTTGGAACTGAACATTTAATATATTTTTCCAATCTAAAATGCTAGACGAGGATGAATGTGCTTTGGAAACCCATACATGCGACTCCGATGCCACGTGCAACAATACCATTGGATCATACACATGTACATGTGAAGAAGGATTTACAGGAAACGGGTCATCGTGCAAAGGTTTGTCTAGAGGTCAGCAAAACTTCATGTATACTTATGTGTTGCGTACTAACATTTGAATTATCGAAAATTGCTATCTGGTGAACCAGATGAAGATGAATGTGCTTTGGAAACCCATCCATGTCACTTCGATGCCACGTGTAACAATACTATGGGATCATACACTTGTACGTGTGAAGAAGGATTTACAGGAAATGGAACCATTTGTGAAGGTATAGTTATGTGTTAACTGTTAACAGATTACGTACGACCTGGCTGCTTATAGATGCTTGGAACTAAAAATTTAGTATAACTTTCTAATCTAAATGCTAGACGAAGATGAATGTGCTTTGGAAACCCATACATGTCACTTGGACGCCACGTGTAACAATACCATTGGATCATACAGATGTACATGTAAAGAAAGATTTACGGGAAATGGGACAAATTGTGAAGGTATAGTAGCAGATTACGAGCATGATAAATCGTTTATAAAGTGATAAAAGAGAAAAATTTTGCATCTAATGACAATGTCCAATCAATAATTGTGTACATTTCTAAACGGATAACATTTGAGTAATTTCTGCCTCATATTCCTATCCAATTATATTTTCTGAAAACAATCGGCTCTCATTGCCAATATGATTTCTTTAAACACGCCTAATGTTACCGGTAAAACATGCGGCTTGCACGTGAATGACTTTTTAGAAACTACAAAGTTCGACGATGATGAATGTAAGTTGAAAAATTACACATGCCATTCGGAAGCAACGTGCAGCAGCACCAATGGGTCATTCGTCTGTACTTGTATCAAAGGATTTACAGGAAATGGAACGGTTTGCAAAGGTAGGGTCTTGCTGTGATGTATGCGTGAATTGCTTTAGATTCAAAATTTTAGAGTAAAACGCCTTCAATTTTAAACGAAGAAGAATTTTGGTTGGAAAGAAACAAATGTATTGTTAGGCCATGCTTAGAGATACCACCAGAACGTACAGGGTCTAATTTTTCTAAAGAATAATTTGTCTGCAAACCTAAGTGGGGCGAAAAACTACTTAGAGGCGCACAAGTACTAGTATAGAAAAAAGGTTCTTATCCAGTCTTTTTTCGTGACTAGTACGTCTTTTTGCGCACTTCTTCATGGAAAACCTGTTAAAACATCCAGTTTTAAATAATATTTTTTGCATCGGGAAATGCTTGAAGTATCAATAGTGTTACAAATAACAGATATTTGTTTTATATCTTACAACAATAGACGTGGATGAATGTGCGTTGAAGACTCACACATGTCATCGTCAAGCCACGTGCAACAATACTATTGGATCCTACATCTGTACTTGTGATCAAGGATGGACAGGTGATGGGAGGAGTTGCAAAGGTACAGTTCACAAACTAACTATGCTTTAAAGTGCCTATATCACTTGTGGGATCTTTACATGAAGAGTTTCACTGGCGATATAGTTTGGCTTTTCAAGAAAAAAATGCGGGAACGGTGCGTTGTGTATGGCTGTAGTTGTGTATGAGTTTTTCTCAAAATATTTTACGTTATTGGAAGATCGAAGTAAAATTACAATTGATTATATTATGTTTGACAAGAACTCGGTTCCTGAGTCCCAGGCCCCCGAGCACGACGGAAATTTAGGCAAATCGTCATGTTTAGATGTAAATATTTCCGAAACTATTTAACTATATCAAAAAGGGTTGTAGAACTTATAAACTAATTTTTCAAGCTCTGTTCAAATCCGTAAAGATCCCACAAGTGATATAGGCACTTTAAGATACTGGCTGTTGAGTTAAAAGCCGATAAAACTGAGTGCTGCGTATTTTCTTAACAATGTGAGGCTAACATCGTGTGAAATTTAATTTAATCCCGGACCACAATAGTTTAGATATTGCCAAAATCTTCGCTAGTTTCTAGTAATTTTAATATCAAACTCGAGTCTAAAATGAATTTAAGCTACAACAAATTCCACAGTACTTTCACGGGAAAAAGGAACATAATTAGATTATTATTATAATTCCACTTTAAATCATTTATTTAAGTCGAAAGATATGAAATTTTTAATGTTTTTGACTGTTATTTTCATATCAGTTTCCGATATATAATGTTTTGCCAAAGAATTAACGTCTTTTTTCCGATTGCATAAGTGTCTATTATTTCTATGATAACTATTTACACGCCATTACTAAATACAGTATTTTTGAAAACTGAAACTTACGTTAGACGACGATGAATGTGCTTCGCGAACACAAAGATGCCACCTTCATGCTATTTGTCAGAATACCATTGGATCATACACCTGTATTTGCAAAGATGGGTTTTCAGGAAATGGAACGGTTTGCAAAGGTAGTATTATTTTTTAACACTTTTGGGTGTAGGTATAATCCTGGCTGAAAGGCTGAAAACTGATTGCAGGTACACGAGGTACCTACAATCCTCGTCAAATTAAAACTTTAAAGACACTCAGAGTTAATTGACACTATAGTCAACAGTCGCTGGATTTATTTCAAAATTATCGCCCTTTCCGCCGCAAATCAAGGTTGAGTGATGTTTCAAACTCATTCAAGCATTTAGCATAGATTCAACATTGATTATCGACACAGAAATGTTGATGTTTTGCGTAAAAAACTACAAATCATTCAGAGTGTAGTCGATGGTTTTGGCCAGGATTGTAGCTCAGTTTTACGTAATTAAAGTATTTACTTAGAGAACGCATTGCATTGTTTAGGATCCCATCCAATCTGTTTCTCAGCGAGAGACACGTTGCATAGCAAGTTCAGCGTTGGAATGCTGGATAGACTGGATGAAGAGGTAAGAGATAAAATTATATTTTCTTCACATTTTTTATCTATTAGTTTGAAAAACGAGGCCATAGCCCATAAATGAGTTCTCCCAAACTTCCACAAGTGTTTCTATAACTGTATATAAACACAGGAAAAAATGTTTTCTATTTCTTCTATAAGATACTCAAAAAACGATTTTGTTCAAATATTATAATTCGATTCAATTACAAATTCTCATTACATTACTTCGCTTGTCAAGTTAGGCGGGAAAAGTCCTGTGTTTCTTTACAGTTATAGAAACACGCTTCTCGACCAATCAGCACGCGCGCACTATAAAAGTCTTAATTGATTGGTAACATTGGTTCATGATTCATGTTCAAGGCATACGAACTCTATCGTAAAGACAAATCCACTGAAGACCGCAAAAACGTCGCACAGGAGATTATCAAAGATCTGACCTGCGTAACAAATCTTGACGCAGTCACGGGTAAAACAAGCCAAATGAACGAACAAAATTTAACTGAAGCGGTCCGAATACTTCAAAAAATAGTTAATCTGAACATTTCTGATCTTGATGTTTTGGGTCCTGTAAACAATATATTGGATCCTAGGAATGCAGATGCTTGGAGAACTATGAAGGTAAGAAAATTAGAAATAGCAAATGCGATTTGTAGCATTCTGGGCGATGTTTTTATTGAAATTGTGTATCGATCGAAAATGCCCGATTTTACAAGAAAAAGCATTGCAAACCGTGAAACCTTGTTTGTCGGAAGAAGAAAAGCGCTCTTATTCTAATTTGTTTTCAAAGTTTTGCGATGATGTAATCTTACTAAGGCTCACAGGGCCATGGTTATTTCGGAGATTGGATTGGGTTATCCTTTTGCTTGATGCAATATTTTATATCGATTCCTACCTTCTGTACTAACCTTTGATTCATTTCGTTATCAAAAGGACGGAAAATTAATCGGCGATCTGGTAATGACACTGCAAAATTATGCAACTCAGCAAGGAGAAGCCTTAAAAAACGATGCATCTAATTCTGCTATATTTTATAACCGTTCAAACATCCAGTTACGCGTTGAATACACAAACCAAAGTCAATTGACGCCAGAAAGAGGAATTTTTAATTTTCCAAATGCATCCTTTGTTCTTTCACCTGATGCACTTGCTAAAGATTCTGGTGCTGTGGTCGCCGTTGTTTGGTATAAAACATTGAACAGCTTTCTAACGGACGGTTTAGATGATAAAGATGATATTAATGGTATCATAAATAGCACAATCATCAGCGCAAGTGTTCAACCTCATCCAATGAAGAATCTGGAAGAACCTGTTCGAATCAGCTGGGACACAAAAGAATCAACAAAGAAGGTCGGTTGTCTTTTATCACAACAATATTCGTATCAATGGTTTAGATAAATTTACCTTTCATTTTCACATTTTAGGATTCTTTTACCGATTTATTTCTATCCTTCTAATTCAAAATTTTTAAAATTAGATATATTGAGATTATGCAGTATTATGCAATATTATTGTCTGGACAAGTATAAAATACTCTATCCCGTTACCCTCAAACCATACTCTGTATGCTCGAAAGTCGTCAAAGCCTTAAATATATCGACCAAATTTTACTCTTTCCGGAATTTATTGCGGAGAAGGAGGTATAGTTCGTCCCCTGAAAAATTCCAGGCTTCGTGATAGTGTATCAATCCATTGTCCTGGCCTAACGCTAGTCTTCACTTCAATTTTGAAACGATATCCAAAATTTTTCAAAGATGGCGGTGATAGTGACAATATTCTCTAAATAGACCTTTTCGGCTTGCATACAAATTAACCATTTCAGATGTTGTGACCATGGAATTGCCAATAAAACTTTCAGGCCATTTGACTTGAAGTGGATTAATTTGCATACAAGCTGAAAATGCCTATTGAATAAAGTAAAGTAAGCAATGTGAAAATTATGAAATACTACTAGAAATAATTAGAAATGGAAATATTGTGTGTTGCAGAACAGAAAATGTGCTCACTGGAATCCTGAATTAAGTGAAAGTGGATGGAAAACAGCTGCATGTGAAGAGGTGTTTGATGAGTCAAATAATCACCGCATTACATGTGAATGTCAGGAGCTGGCAGCCTTCGCTTTTGTAGAAATTTTCAGAAATTTGGTAAGATCAAATTAACCTTTATTTTTCCTATTAATTTGTTGTTTCTTAAGAACGCAGAAAGAAAAGTTGAATTGACTTGATCACACATCCAATTTTTAAAATATAATTATTTCGACACGTGATAAAAAAAAACACTGAATGCGGGGATACTAAGTGGATACTTGTGTGGATATCAAGTGGACACTTAGATAAATATAACGTCACTTTAGGCATTCCATGGAGGACAAATTAACTTTGTTTTGATTTAACACATATATTCAAAAGCCAATCTCGATTTGAATCAGGCATCCTGTACCATGCGTCCTAAATTTTTTTACTACAATTTTTTTTTACTATAATTTTTCTACGATTTACTTATCTTTTGATAAACACCTTGGGAATTATTTCTTTTTTCTCGGATAAGTAATGAACGAGTGATCCTTCAATTCATATCGCTGCTTTGTTTTGGCGAAAAGTTACCAGGCGTGTAACCCAGTGTATACCTATATGCTTGCCAATGTTTATCTGTTTCAGTTGTGAAACCAACCGTTGCGCCCTTCCCCCCAATATTTGTCTACGCAATCGCTGTCTTCACTTCTTATTTTTGTCACAGAGTAAGCTCTCCAAAACATTGCTTGGTCAGGGGAACATGAACCCCGGATGCCCCGCTTAACTTGACACCCTGGGTCCCTGACAGCCCCTCGTTTTCGTCAAATTTTGAAGATAGCTATACACTAGGGGTTTAAAAACAATAACATATAGCGATACTTCAATGCTTTCAGGTTCAATCAATTCAGGCTCAGGTTCAATTCAGTCTATCCTTGACAATACTTGAGTATCACACATAACTCGGGCTAAATACTCGTTACATTTGCGATTTTTGCTGCGATTTTCGTTTCCTTTGAACGAGTAATAAGTTACGAATGCTCTGATGTGTACGAGTTCCTATTTTGAACATCCGTAACTAATTCACTCGTTTATAAGGAGAAAATCAAACACAAAATCGCAGTGAAAGTGTAAATGGGCCTTAAATATTTTTCAAGGAGAGCCATCGTGAAGTGAGAAGATCTAATGTTCACCCAATGTCAATTGTTGGCTGCACAGTATCACTGGTTTGTGTATTGCTTACGATACTTGCGCACGTTTTCTTGTGGAGAAGGCTTGATGAGAGAGCCAAAATTCCATCTAAAGTTCTCATGAATCTCTGCGTCGCTATTGTAATCGCAAATATCTTTTGCATCATCGCTGAATCCGCTCTACATCATGAGGTAACGCGAATATAGTCACCTAGAAATTTATAGTATAAGCAATGATTATATCTATAACTATTTACGGGTTTTTTATGTTTCAACTATAATGACTTGCTTGCCTTTAAACAAAAAGCTCACATATTATTTGAACCATGAATAATAAACAAAAGCGTTAAACAAACGTTTAGTCGTGCGAAGCCAAAAGTTTCAAACTTGAAACGTGCACATTTCATGCTTTTTGATCGATAAGGCACGTAATTAAAGGTTTAAACTTATATTCGTATTCCTTTGTTTTAAAGTCATTAGTTGCATGTACCCTACTGTTTGGACATCTCCGGTTCGATAGGGACATGTCACTTTGCTCGGAAGATTTCGTTCAGTTGGATAGATAATGCTTTTCTATGATGAAATAGGTTGTAACAGAAATGTATTGTAAAGTTCAGCCAATGAAAATCATTCTTGCGAGGAGCTGCGACACTACCCGTTCGATACTGTTCTTGGGTGTGCGTGGGTTTTTCCCATTTCATTGTTCAATACATTGTTCAAGTCGATACCTAACAGTCTGAAGGTGACAAATAATTAAAACTTAACCAATCCCTGAGCCAGTTATTGCAGAGATAACGTTTTGAGCTTGAACGCAATAATTATAGAATAGCAAGTAACAGCTCTTACAGATTTCATTCAATTTTTCTATTTGACCTGATTTCTAGAAATTCTGTATTGCTGCATCGATATTATTGTATTTTGCTCTACTCGTTCTTTTTGGATGGATGTTGGGCGAAGGATTTATCATTCTCTTTCGACTTGCGAAGGTCTACCTGGTTTCAGATTATTGGGGAAAATTTTTGAAAGCGTTCTACGGCATATATTGGGGTGAGTATAGTTATAATTTACATTTATGAATTTACATCCATTTTTCATTGCCTCGTCTGAATGCCTTTAATGGGCTTAATTTTTGTATAGTCTCTTACGCCCAGTTTTCATCTAATCGTTGCTTTCCACTGTGATGACAACTCACAAGTGGTGGATGTTAAAGAGTGCCATTACATCTCTGCAATCAGTGAACTGTAATATCAACTGGAACGCTAACTCCTATATTTCAGCGTAATACTTAACTGAATTAAGCCAAAAATTGAAGCAAAAACTGAGTTTTTGACTGACTTTTTATAAAAATTAGCAAGTGACTGTATGATTTTACATAGTTCTAGACGTTCCTAGATAATTAATCTCTACGTGTCTGTCTTAAACGTTCAATTGGCTTCATATTCCGCGTACACCTTCATATTTGGCTTCAAAGATGGCGGCCAAGTTAACGTTCCAGGTTTTATTACAGTTCACTGGTGAAGACTGATTTGCCACACTTCAACAAAAGACGTGATAAACTTTCACTATTTCCTGTCTACCATTTGTCACTAAAGAGACAGGCATAAAAACCAAACGGAAACTAGACCTAATTTTGCTTTTCGCCAAGCATTAAAAGTTTTCTAGTAGACTAACGCCTGTATTCTAAAAGCTCACTCACACTCAAACTTCTCATAACGTTTCCATGGCGGTATTTCCAACCGAAAAGGGGCTTGATTTTCAGTGATTTACCTTATATCTTTCCATCTATTGAAAGAAAACTTTCTCATTCACCAGCATTAACAAAATTTATATGCCACACTCGATGAGTGTGAGTGAGCTTTTTGAATACAGGCGTAAGTAGTTTTATAAACCAGTTACTATGACTAAGTACTTTTATAAACAATGTTATAGGCAGCTTTTGTATTCGTCTTCGATAACAATTGAATCTAATCTCAACTATATTATTTTCAGTTATTTTTACAGTAAATACTGCTATCGATTCTCATTCAGGTATCCCAGTTATCATTGATATTAACGTAGCTACTGGAGTAGACGATTGGGTGATTCATAACGAGTATGTATGTTGGTGCCGTAGTGGAAGTGAAGCATTCTGGATTTTCATTGCTTCTCTTTGTGCAATTTTACTTGTAAGTCTTCACACGAATCTTTCAGCGAAGTTCAACGTATTTATCTGATTTGCTAATTTAAAAGAAATCACACACAAAAATATTTAAAGAACCAACAGTACAAGGTATAGCCAGCCTGACGATTTAGGCGTTTTCAAAATCGTTTTTGACAAGTCTATTGTTCTAACGACCTGCTAACATGATGCAGGGGAAATATGCTTAATATCTTCATTTAGCTTCAACTTCTTTTGTAAATTGACGGCATTTTTGCCACGTTTTTCCGTTTTGCCACGAAAACGAAAATGCTCCAAAACTTTAACTAACCGTGTTCAAATATAGTCTTAGTTCTGCTATGCTATTATTTTGCTTGATTGTCATTAACCTCAATTTCTAATGAAAGGAGTAATTATAATAATCAATTTAAAAATCCTCAACATTTGAGCAGCATCGACAAAACTTCATCTTCTCATTTTGGCCTAAAGCCCTTAGAACTTTCGTTAGGAGAGTTGTCAAATTGAATAACTGAAGAATCCCCTTAATGAATCCCCTTAATGAATCCCCTTGAAATGTCAAGTCGTTTTCTTGTACCAGGGTTGGACTGAGGGGATGTCATATAATTACTCTTTGAAGAAAGCCATAAATATTTAGAGCCATCACTAAAGCAAATTTTGGGGACGAACAATTTGTGTTGTTGTTGTTTTTTTGTTTTAGATCAACGTCGTTATCTTTCTCTTTGCCTTCCGACATGCTTCATCTTCTCAAGAGTTATGCATAACGCAGACAAAAGAGGACACGGCACATGAACACGAAAGAGAAATTCTTGGTCTAAGATGCGCTGCTCTGGTGCATCTTCCGCTGCTTGGACTCACGTGGTTGTTTGGTTTACTTGCATTTCATCAGAATCAGAATGCGTTGAAATATCTTTTCGTCATTTTCAACATCTTGCAAGCATTGATGTTAGTCGTTTCTCACGTAGTGTTGAATCGAATGGTATGTTTTTAGGTCAAACGCTAGCCTCGGCTGATACATTATGTCTGTGGATGAAAATAGTCTATAATGGGGGTAGACATATACAGGGCCGTAGCTAGAAGCTTAATTGGGGGGTGCATATTCATATATTTGTCTTATGCCCGAATGATCTCTTTTGTATGCTATTGTTCCTATGGTATACAAACATGAACATATGAATATACACCCCCCCACCCCCAATTAAGCGGTCTAGCTACGGCCCTGGACATATATGACCGAATTTTTAATTTTATTTTCAGCATTAAAACATCTTTTATTCTGTTTTGCTAGAATCTGCAATAATTTTTGCCCCAATACATTAGTTCTGAGGAATTATTGGGACAGGGAGACTGTCCCTATCCATTATAAACATTAATCTGCTTCATCTTTCCCTTAGCTTCACAAAGCCATGCACAAAGAAAAGCAAGATCGTCTTTTCAAACCGACTAAAGGTACACAACTCCTCTAGAAAAAGGTCTCCTTTAGAAAAATTGAACCAAATAAGGAATGCAAAGAGGAATGATAATTTTTTGTATATGGTAGAACAGTTTTTCGCTTGCAATTGTAAATCGTCCATACACCGTGTATCTCTGTAGCTATCAAGAGTATATCTTCAGTTTATATTATTTCACATAACTTGTTCAAAGCATTTAGCATTCCAAGTAGTATTATATATCAAGCATTCCTTGAAGAAAATCTTTTTGAAAGCACCTTAATATTCCATTCTAACATAATTATATCCAATGAATAATTGATTTTTGTTCTTGCTTAGGCGTTCCTTCGACAACACGCGAAGACGACGATGAAAAAGCACCAATTGCAGTTACATCAGTGTAATGTTTCAGATTCCATTATTCGAACAACCAGCTTTAGATGCCAAAGAAATGAGTTTGATGAGCAGTCTACTTGATGGAGGGTGTGAGATTCATTCAATGAACTTGTAATATATAACCAGGCCGAAATATTTAGGTTTTTGTGGGAATTAAAGTAGAATGGGTTGCAATTGGGAAGTGTATTTAATTGAAGGTTAATTCAACTAAACTGAATAGTGTGAACACACAGTTAGTATGAAATTAAGTTCTGGGATTTTGATTATATTGCTTTTCGTAACTTGACTATCTTATTCACATAGACGTGCACGCCAAATTATTATATACAATCTCCGTCATATCGCATGATTTTGAGATGACCAACCCTGATTGAGTTTTAATCCACTGTGAAATTTGGTGAACACGTTCAACATAAGTTGATTAATAGCTCATGATAGCAATATGTGTTATATAAACTTAATGTTCATAACGTAGAATTTTCTTTATCATTTGTTGGGCCAATATAAATAGTTTTATTGCTTTCCAAGAATTAATATTTTCCAAAGATTGAAAGAAGCAATATTGATTCTGTGGAAGAAGACTTGCAAAGAAGACTTGCATTATTATGCACTTCGATCAGGGAATAAAATTACCAAAATCTGACATGACAGACAAACAAGCAAACAAACAAAGGACGTACATTTGTGTTGGCGAATATCTCAAAAAGTAAAGAGGATTATGAAAATCTCTAACTTGAGTTTGTAATCAAAATTTTCATTGCTCTTTCATTGATCTAGACGCAAAAAGCAGCTAAGCGCTTAGTAAATGAACAGACATGGCTATTAGGACAACCAAACGAAATTAGACATAAATAACAACACAGGAGAAAACGGGACATATTGAAAAGAGAATATCTATGACTTGACAAAAAACACTGCAGGAGATACCAAAATTATGTTTACTTATTACCACTTTTTTATAACTATCACATTTCCTATGATTGCTTCGTAATAGAAAGATATGATTGGAATCAATTGTTATCAGTATGTTGAACTTTACAATTTTTGAAGATCGTTCTTGATGATCATTATGAACATTATTTAAATTAGGTTCTCACATTCCAAACGTTTCTGGTCTAATCTTCATTGCACTGTCTTTCAGAGAATAATCAGCTCCTTTCCAGTGCCGCCAGGTGACGCCTTTGTGATCTCCGTGACTATGAGCACCATGGTAATACATACCATTAAGATTGGAATAACAACAAGCTTTGTACCACCATGGACCTTTATACATAACTGCACAGTCACCATGATAATCATCATTGTCTGAATCGATTGTTGAAAATGCCGATCCTCGGTGGTATGTGAAAGAGTCTCCAGCCGTACCTACTTGATGCATAGTATAATTTGACACTGTATGAAATATTCTAAAACACTGATGATAAAAAAATTGCTGCTAAATTATTGGCGTAGATTTGAGCGTGCAATTTTTCCACTCAGGACACATTTTTTACGACAGCTTGGAAAAATGAGTGTTTACAATAGGCGCCATAACTATATAACTATAGCTATAACTGCAAGAGAAACAATTAGCTAATTAGAATCACACCACTCTTACACTTGATATTTCTCTGCTAACAGTACTTACCAGAGTAGGTTCCAACGCTCAATTGATATTTTGCTCGTTCACTCGTGACAGCAAAATAGCTGTATTCGGCATATCTCGTATTGCCCGATGTGTCTCCAAGGTCAATACGAAGATTATTTCTTTTTAACTTCGTTAGTCTACGAATTTTATCCAATCCAAGCCAGAATTCACCATCCAGCACCCCAAAACCTTGTTTGTAATCTTGCCACCCTCGGTAGAAGTCAACACTTCCATCAAGACGACGTTGAAATACAGTCCATCCTCCACCTGATGTTGTCATATCACAAAACACTTTGAAACTTCCCTTTCCGTCGGGGTCAATTGAGTAAATTCCATCTGTTGTCACTCCTTTTTTGTAATACTCCGCGCAGTTTTTTTCTGGAAAGAGCAAAGTATTCGTAATGTTGAGCACGTAATGTTGAGCACGTAATGTTGAGCACGTAATGTTGAGCACGTAATGTTGAGCACGTAATGTTGAGCACGTAATGTTCAGCACGTAATGTTGAGCACGTAATGTTGAGCACGTAATGTTCAGCACGTAATGTTCAGCACGTAATGTTCAGCACGTAATGTTGAGCACGTAATGTTTAGCACGTAATGTTCAGCACGTAATGCTGAGCACGTAATGTTCAGCACGTAATGTTGCATTCAGTAATTGTATAAAGGTCAGCTGAAGAAACGCGCACGCGTGGGGGTGCTTGGGGTGGTCTTCGCAAAGGGAGCTTCTTCGCTAAACAAGACCACCCCAAGCACCCCTGCGCGCTTGCTTTTTTAAGCTGACCTTTATACAATACCTGAATGCAGCATTATATATTTTACTATAAAAGCGCCTGGGTACGAGGCTGCCCTCTTCATTAATCGTTTGATGTTATATATTTTGATTCGTGAGAATTAGTATATTGTTAGCGTTCCCTAAAATAGTTTCTTCTTTCCATTTTATGCACCGATGATGTGATCAACAACAATTTGCATCGCCGACCGTCAGTGACGAATGCGAATCAAGCTCGACAGGTTGTGAAGAAACAATTTTAGGTGAATTTCATAAAAACATAATATATACGTGCAGTTTATAAACTAAAGGTAAATTTAAAAACACCTAATAAAACTGAAAAAAAACAACTTCGTGCTTGCCGAAAGCTAAGGCGATGTTACACTTGTAGGCAACTTTTGCAACTTGCAATGTAAGTCTACTCCTGATGTATCTAAAGTTGTCAAAGTTGTTAATATCCAGACTTTTTTTTCTGATTATACTAATTGGTAAGTTTAAACCATTAAACACTGTTACCTGTTTTTGAAGGAGCAAAGATCTTCCAAACAGCATCTATTTTAATGGCCATATCGTTGAGACGGATTTCAATATTTTTGAGATTACAAGAATTTGTACGTGCTTGAGTTGGTACTGTTGTCGGAGTTACAGGTACACAGTCGATTCTGTGAAATAATATACTAAAAATTTATCATTCATCTACAGTAATTGGAATATTTAATAGGCTGAGAAGACTCCGCAGTTGCTTTAGTAGACTGAAAATAATACGGGAAATTTATTAAATACAAGAAAAGCGTCAGAGAGTTCTAAGCAGTGACACGCTAAAACAGAATAACAGGGCCGTCCAGAATTTGCAATTCGGTCAAGGTTTGTAATTCCCATAAAAAACATCTGCGGGAAGATGATTAAAACTTGTGTTGGAAATATTTAGCTCTCGTACAAAAAAATGCAATATGAATTAGTACTCTAGCATAGCCCTCCTCACTGGGTGAGGAATAATATTAATATAATTTCGCACCCCTCATTAAGAAATCGCACTCCAAAAACTAATGAAATCGCAACTGCTGTCCCATGCAAGAACGCTCTATTCCTTAAAAAACAATATTTGGGAAACACGTTATTGCTTTGCAATGGCACAAACTATGACGTTTCTTTCATTTGCAATTGGGTCACTATAACGACTAACAAGATTTTTCCCAAAGATCCTCAAAATTTCTGAAAAATGGAAATACCTCAAGATTTTTGTCATATATAGCTGCAGAATTAGTGACATTTTTATGCCTGCTGCTTTCAACATATCAGGATTGCAAGCAGTGTCGATCTAGCCGCTCCAACGCTGATATTTCATCTTACACACAATTTCATTCATAGCACGCAGCAACTGAGTGAATTTCCGCAGAGTGAATTTCCGCAGAGTGAATTTCCGCGATAATACGAGATAACAGGTTAACCAAGGTTAGTCTCCGTAAAAAACCTCTCATATTTTAGCCAGATGTCAGGATTCAAGTTACGCAAATGACGCACATTATAATGAGATTAATCTGCCATCACGGCATACATTAGGAATTGAACTCAGATTTTGTTAAAATGCACTAACTGCAATTACGTACAAATGATCATATACTTTCACATCTGGCGATACAAAACCTTATCGCACAGGGACAAAGTTACAGTCCGACGTTAATAAAGCGTCCGTACAACGTTCAACTCAATGTTCATATAACCTAATGTCCGGTGGAAATGCAACGTTCAGCCAACGTTCGGCGCCAACGTTTAAATAACGTTCAACTAACGTGCTAGGATAACGTTGTGTGCTAGCTGGATAATTGTGTTCCTTTATGTAAATTGTTACACTCCTCGTGTGGACTTTGATCGAAGCAGTCATGTTGGTTCTCTTTCTGTGACAATTTTTAAGTTTAACGAGGCAACTGTATCCTGAATCTGAGGCTATTATGTTCACAATGTCATTCTCTCAGTCTCCGCATTTTGACATGATGCCACAAATAAAATAAATGCATGAAATTTGGTTTATTTGACATAAGATGTTTAAGAATAAGGCATACCTGACATGGAGCAGAAAGAATATAGCAGCAGTAAACACAGAAAATAATGTGTTTTTCATGTTGATAAACACGACGACAAGGAAGCGTTGAGTTTGTTGATGATTGTTTCAAGAAATGTGAACCCTTCGAGATTAATCCCCGCAAACGTTCCGTTTCGTCGATGGCTTAGCTTATCCAATTAGAATAAGAGGCGAAAATGACGTCATAAGATACACGAAAATAAACTGCGAGATTAAACAATAAACTCGGGAAGGTAAATGAGTGTGTTGGACTGTTCATACTTGATAGTATATTTTTAGTTTTATATGCGAGGGATTGACGGAGTGGCGTAATTACCTTAGGAATTAATCTGAAGTTCGTTAAACAAAAAGAGGACATGACCCTACTAAATGACCGCTTCGCGAAACGTTTGAACGGTTCGCTTGGAAGATCTGGACAATTCATTACTTTTGTGGACTAATAATGTAAATGCCAACCAGAAATCTTTCATCGTCCTGTTTACATGGAGGTAGGGTGTCCCTAGCAGAAAGGTTACTCCACTAAGAGTCACCCTGAGTGTTCTGTCTAATATGTTTTATATAGAAATCGCCGGTTTAACATGCGCACTGGGGTTATCCTACAAAAGTAAGTTTCCTCTATCAAATAGAAGGAGTAAACCTGGAATTAGAATTGGGCCTAGTTTTCTAACACAGGCAGGGTCAATGTTCAGAACAACTGTGTTTCGATGAAGATTAAGAATAAGCAAATATTCCTGACGAGTATTTTCACAGACACAGAGAAGATTTTCCGCAAATTCCGGGTGTAGAGACATTAACAGATTTAAAATGTATCACATGATTAAGATTTTGACGACTGCGCTAACCTAAAGAGGAAGCAGCCTTAGAGCGTTAACGCATCTTGAAAAACAAGGCCAAAACTACCTACTAGCTTTGCTGGCATGGTGCGCTTCTGTTTACCCCATTGGTAGAGTAACCATATACCTTATGTAACATTCATGCCCCCCGTCAGCCCTGAGCCTCTCGACGGCAATATAGCATTGTGAATGATGGAAAAAATAATAATATGAACGTGCAAAAGCTCCAATTTCATTGTTTTTACATCAAAGGAGACGTGCCAATGGAAGGAGACGAGTCTGACGAGACTAGTCCTGTGGAAGAGCTACGTGGATTTCAGTGTAAAATGTATTTAGTTTGGAATTACAAGGGCAAATGAGGGATATTTTTGGTTAAGATACACCTGATGGTCCCTATATTTACTTGCTTGATTGCGCGATTACTCATGTGCTTTGTAGGATTCACACGGAATTGAGACCAGGTTAGCTTACAAAACTTCAATTACTTAAACCGATCAGAAAATTCATTTTTGGTGACGTTGTTTACATTAAAAGTTTAGCTGTAAGGCATTTTTTATGACAAAGGTCAGATGATGTTGAGTAGTTATCCAAATATAACCGAATAATTCGTTTTCACTTGGATTAAAAAATCTCTAATTCCTCCACTAGGCGTCTATATTACAATTTTCACGATATTATTAAGCGATATATTTTGTTTGTCGATTCGATATGCTTCGTTTGCTCGTTACTGGTTGCAAATTCCTCGCAGATATTCCAACTTAACGCTCTAGTGAAGAGTACTGGTTCTAGTCAACGGGTAGCGATCCATCTTATTGACATAACTGTACGCTTCACGGCATCTTTTAAACTTGAAGATTTCACAACGTGTCTTTGTGCCGGTAAAACCATTCAAGCAGGAAATCATTGCAAGATCCAATTTAAATTATAGGCAAAAAATAAATCAAACTAACTTAAAAAGGCATTTCAAGTTTTTTGCTAAACTATAATGGAGTAATTATATTTTGCTAAACTATAATAGAATAATTATATGTTGCAAAATTTTAATAGAAATGTTTACTAAGTTATTCTATTATGTACTGAATTATATAATACCAGTCTGAGATGCAAACGCGTGCTTTATTGCCATAAAACTTTCAATTCCTGATTTTACTGCACAAAGCCCCGTTTTCACCCAGTTTCCTATAGTTCTTAGCCCATTAATAAGTTACAATTTTCCGATGAACCCTTTGACATTTTAAGGATAAAGGCTTCCTTTTAAACTATATATTATAATCATGTCGGTCATATGCGAGACTGTATAGACTATAGAGTAAACTGTCGCCGCCTAAGTATTACTTAACCTCGCACGGGTGATCTAAGCTGAAATGGTAATGTACAAATCTATCATTTATAATTCACACTTTTGAATGTATGTATACGTGGATTATATTTGTTGCAAATGAAGATGTACTAAGTGGTACTGAATGTTACAATTTTATTCAAATGACAGTTCCGTGCTTTTCTTTGTTTATTTTCAAACTTTCAGCAAGCTACGGTTCAGCAAGCATATTTTGTGCGAAATCTAGCGGCGTTAAAACCTACCTGTTCATATTTCTCTCTCATAACACAGCCACCTGTCAATTCAATAATCTTGCTTTACTACGTTTACTTTGCTTACAAGCCCGCTTCATAAAGCTCAAGACCACAACACCGTGAAGACCATCCACCGTGGCAGATGATTCAACTATCATTACTCATGAGAAAAATATGAAAACTTGAATTCCATATTCATTACGCAAATATGACAACAAATTTTGGAGGTAAACACATATTGATGTTATTAGATCATTTAGTTCTGATTAACATATTTATTCAATTGCATTGTCATCAAGGAAGAAGCAACGGCTTTTGAATTTAATATTACATTTTGAAAGAATTTATGTTTCCGTATTTAGCCCTCCCAAATGCCAGCATTGACACTTTTATATGCTGCCTTGAATAGCAAAAAAATGGCTCAAATTAATAGCCAAGACTCAATTTGAAATCAACTTTTGTTATATGACTCCAATGAACTATTGAGACATATGAACCAGAGTTAGGCACCTGTCAGATAGGTTTTAAATATTTTTATACATAATTATGTTTCATCGTACTTAGCTTAAATGTACTCAGCCAAATAAACTGGACTATAATTCGACAGTGATAGTAAACTTGGTTTTCTAAGTTATATTTTAGGTTTAATTACATATAACAAAAATAAAGGTGAAATGTTGTTAATTATTCATGTCGGTAACAAAGGGTTCTTGATTCTAGCTTGTAAAAATATGTCTCAGGATTTCCTGGCGGGAAAATTTAACGTATCTTCATCTTTATTAAGTGTATAACGCAGTTTATAGTTGTATTTTAGATCGCTTGGTACAATAGAGTATTAACGCTAATAGCAAAGACATT